TTCAGATGGAGATAACTTTTCGCATCTCCTGGCGCCGTAGTTCTGGTCAAGCCTATTGTGACCAGTCCACAATAGAGAATGGTCAACTGATTGGTGTAAATGGAAATATTCAATGCGAACAAGGATGTTCAGGTACAATATCTGATGTGAGGGTATAGATGTACCGATTTAGTGTTGAAGAGGACTGGAGCTTTGGTGAGCGTGTGGTAACATACACATTTCTTGAAGGAGTCGATATCATTACTATAGCTTTTAGTGGTGGTGATTGGATATCACCATTCAGCTCACGTTGGAGGGTTCCTACCACCTTTTCACTTGCAAGACGAAATGACACGGGAGACATCAACTCCACTCCAAGAGCCATAACGAGTCCGGTTCTCCGTATCCAGGAAGGCTGCAACCATACTATCAGAGTTCCAGTCACTGACCCAGATGACGACACTGTGCGGTGTCGGTGGGCTGTGGGGGGTGAATGTGCTGGGATTTGCAACGGGTTTCCAGGTGCAATTCTTGTTCCCGAAACTTGCTCCTTGGTTTATGTCGCTGATCAGGGACAAGGATTCCGAGCAGCAGCACTCATGATTGAAGATTTTCAGCCAGGATCCACCACTCCTTTGAGTAGCGTGGCACTACAGTTTCTCATTCTTGTTGTAGACACAATGAGGTCTTGCTCGGCGAATCCCACCTTTGTCCCACCTACCCCATATGATGACTCTTGCATTGTTGTTCCCTCGGGCCATACACTACACCTAAGACTAGTGGCAAGCAGTGGCTATGAAGGAGACACCATATCCGAGATACAGACCGTCTCTCCAGCAGGACTGGTAAAGTCTAGTGTGTTTTCTGATGAAACAGCTGGTGTCTTCTATGTCAATATAACATGGTTACCCACGCTTGAGCAAGAGAATGATATACACCTTTTCTGTTTCACAGCCACCAACACAGGCGGATTGTCTAGCAGCCAATCGTGTATCCAACTGCTCCCCGGACATTATCCTCCCACTCCTTTAGCCGAAACAGCGTCCCCTAATATGGCAACACATGTTCATCCCTCTCAACATTCATTTCAAGTGAAATTTGATAGACAAGTGAAGCGTTCTTTTTTCCCTGCTTTCATTTCCTTCCACGAGTTTAGCACTGGTAAAGTGGTGTATCAGATAAATGCCTCATCTGAGGCAGAGATCGCATTTGAGAATGGCACAAAAATCATACTGACACCCGATTACAGGTTTGAAGAGGTGACAAAGTACTATATCAGCTTTGCTAGGGGAGTAGTGCTAGGATTTGAGGGATGTGAACCTGGAAATGAACCACTTACGGATCAAAACTTCTGGACATTCACAACTGGTGACATAACTCCACCAAGAGTCACAATACTGGATGGTCCGTTTATTAGCAATGCCAATGTTTCCATATCATGGGATAGCAATGAGCCTGTAACATATGAATGTACACTTATTAGTGGACATACATCAGCCGAAGTGAATTGCTTTGATGCATTTTGGACTGGCATAAACCTAATTCAAGGCTCATACAGGCTTGAAATTTCAGCGACAGATCTTTTCAATAACACGGCATCAGTGGTACATGCATTCAGTATTGACACAACTCCCCCAGTTGTGGAGTTCACTTCAGTACCAGGTGAGGTGTCAAACACTGGGATTGGTTTTCTTGTATTTCGCTGTGAGGGTAGTGAGGTATGTGCTTACCAATGCACATTCTTTGAAGGCAGTATGGGAAGCGACAAAGGTTCCTCTTCCAGCTGTTTTGGCTCCTTCAGCAGCCCTCTCTTGAGTCATGGAAGGTACTACACTCTCTCAATCACGGCCACAGACCAGGCAGGTAATGTTGGAGAGCCAGTCAGCTACACTTGGGAGACTGATTTCGAACCCCCAACTGTGTTCGGAGTGGCCAACACCAGTGCCCTCTGCACTGGTGACTTGTCTCCAGCTCAGACAGGTAAGGCACTGGCCAGAGACAATAGAGACACTGCTCCAACAGTTAGCTTTTGGGATAGGCAGATGCCTTGCTCTATTGCCCGTACATGGAGAGCTGCGGATGAAGCCGGAAACATCGGCATAGTGACACAATATATTTTGCTTGAGTATGTTCCAGCAGTGAATTTTTTGCCGGTGGTATCACTACCTTGCGACAGCTCTACAGACTCTATAGCAATACCAGGAAATACAGCCACACTACCAAACCCCTGCAGGAGGCCACTCGAGCTCAGTTATGATGATTCAAGTGCTAACTACACCTGTCCAATAACTTTCACTCGCAGGTGGACTTTTACAGATGGTTGCACACGGGAATTATTATATCTCTCTTTGATGTGTGCCCTCTCCATGCTTGTGGTCAGCCGGAAACCCCACCTCGTGGTATCTGTATATAGATGTTGGTGTAATAGGCCTTGGTTTGGAGAGCAATGTGATATTCTCATTCATTCAGTTGTGGTTGAACCTATTGACAGCGTTGTCTTGCAAGAGTTGGAAGATTACACTAGGACGATCTCAGTTGTCAATGGATCACGTCCTTTTCTCTTCTCACTCCTCTCATCCCCAGACGGGATGACATTGAACCAGGAAGCACAAACAGTTTCATGGCGCAGAGTGCAGGTTGGCAACTACACATTAACAGTTGAAGTTGAGAATGAAGTAAGTGTCGAGAGAGTGTCATGGTCCCTTGTGGTAAGGCCTGGCTATACTGCAGTCCTGGATCCAGTGACTGAGAACCTTTACCCTAGAGCAACCCCTATAGAACTGACTGGTCGAGTCGAGTACTTTGAAGGAAACACAATTGAAGGTCTCCTTAGGGGGTTTGTGCCAGTCACAATAGAAATCAGTGGTCTTAATGGAAGGAGAGAGTTGAAGACATTCAGTCAGAGAGACAGGACATTTTCAGGCGTTTTTTACCCAGCCCACACTGAGTATGGGTCCTACGTGGCTGGTGCCAAACACCCACGTGCACCAAGAGCCACTGACCAAACAAGTTGGGACTTCCTTGGGATGTCATTCACCCCACGAAATGTGCAACTGAGAGAAGCAACTGTCGCTTCATTTGAGAAGACCTTCCACAATGTGTCATTTCTCATCAATGATGGTCCACAAGCCCTTCACAACATTTTAGTGATCAGCTCTTTAGAGAAGACGGACGAACTGACGATCACAGCAACTCTTAGCCATTCAGAATTGCAACCAGGTGAAACTACCTCAATCGACATCTATGTAAAATCTGCAAGTGCCCTTCAGGCTTCATTTTCAATTACAGTACGCTCTGTGGAAGGCACTGAAACCTCTCTCTTGTCAACCTTTTCATAGCACAGATCCTTCCTGAACTTGTCATCAGTCCATCCTCTATCACCACAAGAGTGGTTAGGGGAACAGCCCGCACTTTGGACTTCAATGTCACTAATGTTGGGAGTATACCAGCTAACATGGTGAGAGCAGTTCTGCCCGATGTAGCATTTATGTCACTCGTCAACTTTGGAACTGCTCAGCAGCAAAATGAAGGGGAACTGACGATGGACAGTGGTGAGTCTGCCATATTGACTGTGTTGGTTACAGTCCCTCCAGAAGAACCTCTTGGGGAGATTTCTGGTAGAATAGTCATATCATCTATGGAAACCTTTGAAACTATTGGCTTCAGGATAATTGTCTCTTCAGACATGCTTATGAACTTTACAGATATAGAAGATGAGTACTCCTATTTTGCTGAGGGGCGACCATTACTTAGTGGTGCAGTTATTACACTTACAAACAGCCAGCGTGGTATTAGAGAGACGCTGACTACAGGAGAGAGTGGAATGGTAACTTTCTTGAATATCAATGAAGATAGATATCAGCTTCGGGTCACCGGGCCTAACCATGCACCGCTTGAACAGATCTTGGTGACCTCAGCAGAAGAGCCCGTTCACACAGTATTTCTACCAAGGAGGGCTGTAACGTACTCCTTCACTGTAGTCCCAACCACCTTCGAAGAGACATACACCGTGATGCTAGAGGCAGACTTTGTGACACATGTCCCAATTCCAGTGGTGACTATAACACCAAGAGAGGTCTCACTGGAGCCATACGAACAGGGACTTTGAAGACACAATTCAATACAACATCACAAACCACGGCCTTATCAGAGCTGATGATGTAGGCTTCCAACTCCCAACTGGACACCCTTTCCTCGAGTTTTCAACTGATATTGAAGAGTTTGGGTCTCTTGAGGCACTGACCTCCATTATTGTTCCGGTGAAGGTTACACGTATTGAGGGTAGAGAAAAGAGAAATGTGGCTGCATGTATTCTCTACACAATTGAAGTCGCATATTCCTATGTGTGTGGTGATGTCCAGCATCGTTCTGCCACGGCAATACTCAGGGGATTTAGACAGGTGTGTGGGGGAAGATATAGGTTGATTGGCCGACCCAGACGAAGTGGTGACCCAACCTCTATCAGTTCTACTTATACCCCAACAACAATCCACTGTGACAATTGTCTTATTAGTGCCATTGGATGTCTACCCATCCCACTGCCTGGTTTTAGTTGTTTTCACTTCTCTTTCTCGCTAGTTTATAACTTTGGATCTAATCCAGACACATCTCCTTTCAATCCAACTGATATTGCTGACTGGTCTAGTCTCATTGGCTGTATTCTTTCAGTGATCCCTGTAACAGCACCAATTTCAGGATTATTTTGCCTTCCTTCCCTGCTCCGTGACTGTCTTGGCGCTGACACAACAATTGGTCGCAGAAGGCGAAGTCTAGCAAACACTGTTCGTGAAACTATTCCATATATTTACGCAATGCACGAGTTTACACTACTTGGCGTTGAAATATTAGGTCATGAGAGGTGGTTAAGACTAGTATCTGATCCACTATGGGTATCAGATGTGTTGCGCCCAGCATTAGGTGACTCCAGCAGTGGAGGAATTATGATTACTAGAGATGAGTTTACTGCAATCACAAGCTTGCCCACCACCTCGTAATGCCACAAGGGAAATGGTGGGATCCCTGCTGGAAAGGTTTAATAACACATTCATTGGGTGGGGTAATGGAACACTTGAGCCTCAAAATGGATCCAATATGGTGTCGTACAGTGCAGTTCAAAACTTCACCAGAAATGTGCACACTGCTCATGGACTAATTGGTTTGGGAGAAGAAGAATCGTTTCTTGATTCTTACAATGATGTAATAGAGCAATACAACATGATTGCAGGGGCAGATGAGGATGAAGATGAAGGGTTTGTGCAGTTGTCAGAATCAGAATAGAGCAAGAAATGCATTGACCAGAGATGCTTTTCTGGCTAGACTGGAGATTGAGAACATGGAAGCTACAGAATTACGGAGAATTCAAATGGCCTTCCTCATTACCGATGTTGGCTCAGGAGCAGTGTCCACTCAACTCTTTGTCATAGGGAATGAGACACTGACTGGAGCTCTGAGAGACGGAGATGGAGGATGGATCCTGGCCAGCAGTGAGTCAGGAGCTGCTGAATGGCTCATTGTCCCCCTGTCTGAGGCTGCCCCTACTGAAAACAGAAATTATGACATTGGAGGGTCATTTTCATACGTCTCAAGTGGAGAGAACATCACAATCCCACTCCTGCCCACTAGAATCACGGTAGCCCCAGACCCTTCACTCATCATCCACTACTTTTGGGAGAAGTTTGTGATTGGAGACAACCCATTCACTGACGAAAGAGAGCCCTCAGTACCATTTGCTCTGGGAGTGGCCATCCACAATGGAGGTTATGGGACAGCAATGAACCTGAGGATAACATCAGGTCAGCCAGAGATCATTGAGAATGAGAAGGGACTCTTGGTTACTTTTAAGATTATTGGAACAAGAATCGGAGGTGAAAGTGTGAGTCCCTCACTGACAGTAAACTTTGGAGACATTGAGGCGATGGAGACAAAGGTAGCCCGGTGGCTCCTCATCTCCAGCCTTCAGGGGGAGTTCACAAACTATTCTGCCAGTTTTGAGTACATGAACCCACTAGGTGATCCCAGACTCTCTGTGTTGGACGAACTTGTCATCCACGATCTCATCAGAAATGTGGTCATATATCAGGAAGATGAGAGCGATGGTGTCTTAGACTTTCTAGTCAACGATGCTACTGACTTGTTTGATATTCCAGATGCTTTATACAGCAGCAAGACCTTCACTAGATACAATGTGAGTGAAGGAGCAATCGAATCAATCATTCCTCAAGGTTCTGGTAGTATAGAGGTCCTTACATCCAGCAACTTCAGTGGTTGGGTCTACTTCAGGTTTGAAGATGTTGGCAGGGTGTTCACTGAAACCAAAAGAAGCATCAATTTCACAAAAGCTGTTGGTGGAGAGGTGACTCGACTACCTCTAGAGAATGCATAGGTTGCTGGGGAGGCTCAGCCAAGTCCAGATGATTCAGATCCATTCTTCTTGCACATTATCGACTACCTGGATGAGGCTGGGGAAGTTGTCTATCTCTTGAACCCATGTGTAACTGACTGTGCCACAGATGAACAAGAATTTGAACCAATTGTTCCTCCTGGTACGTTTCTTGTGTAAGAGAGATTTTATAAACCAGGTATAATTATACTGTTGTTGTTTCTTATGGCACCCTAAATTTTCCTCGTGAATGGGTATTCTTTCAGATTGCCTGGGCTACAGGTGCCCTGCATTAATGAGTAATTCAATGTGCCTTTCTCCTTCTTTACTATTAGTTCCTCCGATAAATGTGGAGGTGGAGGCAATTGGCTCAACCTGGATCATCCTCTCCTGGGAGCCAGTGGTCACATCTGCTGGTTTGTTGATCCAGCTGGTGCTGGTGAGCGGAGGAGGGACAGAGTACAATGTCACAGTTGATAGCCAGAGAGCGAAGTCCAACATAACCAACTTAGATGCTGGCGTCATGTACTCGATGAGAGTAGTAACTGTGGCAGAAGATGGACAGATGAGTTTTCCCAGTCTCCCTGCACTAACAATGACACAGATTTCATGTAAGTTTGACAGAAATACACACAATGTGATGTGGATACTTTGTTAAATCAAATCTAGTTGACAGACCGCCAGAGAACCTGGTGTTGGAGAGTGCCGGAGTGTCATGGATAGTGGTGTCTTGGTCTCTCTTCCCTGGAGATGTCCTGACTTCATCCCAGGTCATCCTGGTCAGTGGTGGAGGGACTGAGAGGAACATTACTCTAGAAGGCAATGGGACATCAGTGAATGTGACGGGTCTTCAGTCAGGGACTGAGTACTCATTCAGAGTGATTGCAATAGCCAGTGACGGACAGACAAGTACACCCAGTGCCGTTCTCACTGCCAGCACAGCTGGAACTCTAGGTATATATTATAAGTGCATCTGAAGAAGTAGATAACTGAACTAGCTATAAGGATATTATAGGAGTCAGTGCAAGACTGCATACTAAGTACCACTTTATAACGTCCTTAATTCGCCATATTGTTTTATACCCTGCTCTGCAGTTCCCACAGAAGCTTTTTATGATACTGTAATTGGAGATCCACTGTTCACGGTGGCTGTACAAGAAGATCAGTTCATGTGCTATGAGATTCATGGACATGCTGGAAAGTATTACAACCTCGTTTCGGATACGTGCACCTCTGTTAGTGCTCTTTTTACTGAACAGCCATCTGATCCAAGACGCAATAGGATGAGTGAAATCGGTATTTACGCAGTGAGCACACACAATACTTGTGCCAAGATCCAAATTAGCCTTGAGAACTGTGCAGGTAATTTGAATAGTGAGACAGTCACCTCAACCAATCAACAAAACGGTATCAGTGTGAGACAATACCTCAATCGCTGGCGAGTCTCTGTCCCCAATTGTGACTCCACGCAATCTCTGATAATGTGGATCTTCTGTGACAGTGAACCAGACATGCTGCGATTCCGCATCGCCAGAGGCAACAACTTGGCTCCCACTTCCCATGGACTTCTAGGTAACACACACAAAACACATCATTTCAAATGTGGCTACACTTGCATCCAGGCAAAAAGGAGGCATATGTTCACTCACCATATTATCATGGGCTGCATTGTGAAAAACACTGATACACGTGCTCATTATGATTAAATAGATGGGTGCAAGAACTGTGGCATCTACAGAGCACAAACCTATTTCAACTGTCAAATTAGCATTCTGTGCCCATCCTATAGCTTTGGGACACCAATCATAATTAGCATAATTTCTGAGTAGTCTTTTTGCAGAAGGACATTATAAGAATTGTTTGGTAAGTATTTTAGTGGCATCAGAAAATATTACTACTGGATATATAGCACTGAGCTTTTTCTGTGACCTGTTAGAAGTGAAGACATACAAAGCACAGACTCAACCTGGCATTGTGTATACCATGCCACTTGCTAATGTGTAGTTAACACTTCATAGAAAGAAGCAGACCACTCACTTGATTATAGATGAGTGTGTAGACGAATTTTTTTCGGAGCACATTACATGAGAAGTTTTATAGCAAAAGGTGCCTTCAGGGATCCAAATGTACATCATTATCTATTGAACTTAAACCCTTTTGGTGCCATGGGTATCTCCTTAAATTAGCAGTAATTGATGTATAACATAATATTAATGCCTAGTATTATAACCCATATATAAATTCTTATGGACTTATGGAGGCTCTGGCCATATGCCCGTGGCTGGCTAATAGTTTACCCTCGACTTTATTAGTCAACACCCAGCTCGAGAATCAAACTCAGTTTCCTAGTATAATAGTAGCCACTAGGCAAAGGCAGTAATCGTAATACAAACAAACCTGATGCACTAAGAGAAGAGCTAACTATAGACTCTCTAGAAGATGGGCAATACTTGCCTTGCCATGTGAAAGGCCAGTAGATATATACCTGGATAGCACTGTCATTTTTATTTCCTCTCCCCAGGTCAATTTTGGAACATTCCAATTACTGCAATAGTTGATGGCGGTGAACATTTTGTGGTCCTATTCAACTCTACGAGTCCTCACTACCGCCGTATACCAGCAGAGCTGGCAGCACTCACCTGGGACCACACCCTGGCTCCCTGCTACTATGTAGGAGACTCTCAGGGTGGGCCCGAAAGATCTAATGACCCCAGAGAGTCTGTCATTGAAGGAAGTGTGGCTCGGTACCACACATCTTCTCTGTTTGGAACATCATTCTTTTACAGCAAATTTGATGAGTCCCAGTGTAATACTGGCAGAGATTGAATTTACTGCTCCCGAAAATACAACTCTTAAACTGCTAAACTGGTGTGTGTTATTATTATGTTGTTGCTGTGCCTAAAATGTCACATTATAGAACAGGTCATGCAGTCTAGACTTACAGTTGGTAGCTAAGCCTAAGCAAGTCCCACTGGGCAAAATCACTAAGTACGATAGTACTTAGTGAAATAGAGATAACATGTAATCGACAGAACTATTAATCTTATTTTAGGAGTTCTATTTTTCTTACACGTGTATATACTGTGCGTTATTTAGAATAATCGCACGTTTTTTATGTCTCCGTCGTGTCGTCGTGCTGCGTGAGTTTCAGAGTTTTTATATTTTTCTATGAGTTTATTGGTCCTTTGAGGCTTTCTATTTTTCTACCGGCTGTTGTTTTTATCCTGTAGCTGTCGTTTTTTGTACATGATTTCTATCTATTTATTTTATAACTATGTGTAAGGGAGGTTGGGACACTGGGTGTGTAGGGAGAGTTGGGCCCATAAAAGACTCTTTAACCTACTGCCCCGGTTCTCAAGGCTGGGCACCCAGGGTCCTGCCTCTTTCTATATGTTATTGTCTGTGTTTTTGTACGCTTGGGTACTTTATTGTCTGTGTTTTGTGTGCTTGGGTGGGGGAGGTTCTTTCTTTTCCTCTGAGCTAGTATGCTATAAACATGTTTTTTCATGTAGGTTACCATACATTTGTGAGATAACAGCTTTCACTTTCGATCAGTATCACGACTGATACCGGTATCAGGAATCCATATGGGCAAAATAATTATTATGTATGTACCTACGAAAATGTCTTAAATATTATTGTCATTGTTGTCGTTCAGGTTAGACAAGCGTATCTCAAAACCAGGTAAGACATAGAGATAAAACCTTGCACAGAGATTAATGCATGAGCATGTTAATTAGACCAGTGCCATCCCTAAGCATCTACCGATCGTCTGATGTAGCTCACACCAATTATTACATAATAACAGTAAGCAAAGGAGACTAAACACAAAATAGTGTTACTTCAAAAATATGCAACAGATAATTCGCTACTAGTTTAGGTTGAAAAGTTTAATATAACTTTTGAAATGTTGTTTTGGAACTCGGAGTTCCACTTGTTTGTCGCTATCGTAGAGTGATATTAGTGGAACACGATCCATCTGAGCATGAAATCTTTTGATAACCTCATCAACTGCTTCTTTCATCAGTGGTATGTCAGGATGCTGTAAAAGTTAGAAAAATGACATTGGCTACACTGCCTCATGCAGTCATTATCTACTTTTGTAGCCCAGAAGCCATAGAAATCAAAGTGCTGTGTACGCTGGTATACTCGTACCACTGACAGCACCTGACCACTTCCTGGGGGATATTCATATCTACCAGAGGGTATGAGTATCCGAATAATGGAAAGCAAAAAAAAGCAACAAAAACGACGTTCTGTGTCGAGTCGTAATGTACAATAATAAAGTACGAAACAAAAAGTATATGCAGCCTTGGTTAGAAAGTGGCTGGTATTCAGTGCAAGTCTACACCTTCGTTCTTGTGCAGAAACACAGTTGCACCTGGCAACATGTTCCATGTATAGGAATGGTGGTATGGCACTCCTGAACCCTTTAAATCTCAAAGACGCTCGCATTAAACGAGAGTTCCTTCCACTTAGATGGGAAGTGCTGTTAGAATAGTCGATTTGATTCGGCTGACCGATTTATCCAGACGTTGGCCCGTTATGGAGGACACATCGTGGAGGTGACTGTGAATGCTAGCAACCATTAGAGTAGTTATTGGGCTCTTTTGGCCTGACTTGTTGTGTGAAACGTAGGATTGGCTTACTTATAACTAAATTCCTATCTGCATAGTGTGACCGCAGGGTGAGGGTTTTAGTGGGTGGGTAAGAGACCTGATTACATAAAGCATACCAGGACCTATATTATCTTTTACTTACCTCAATGATCTCATCCTGCATGACAGTAGGTGGTGGTCCGATTTGCTTAATAACAGCACACAGATCTGTAAATTCATTCGCTGATGCCACATCCATTGCTGTCATACCTTCCTATTATAAAATAATCAAAAAACTCTCTTTTTACTGATTAACTAACTTGATTTGTAATCGCTGAATTTGCTCCATGTTCCACGAGGACCTTCACTGTATCCTGATGACCTCCCTTGCAGGCAAACATCAGAGCTGTGTATCCAGTACCCTGCATGAAATTGGCCAAGAAATAATGTTGCAAAAGTTTTTCTTAGTGATTTTACACATAATGTACACATGTGTGGTGAGTATGGTTCACCATTTTCTTATTAACCCTGTCAGTACGGTGCGAATTGCCAGGTCTACACCATTTCTCCACATAATAGGACCTCCCTGTGATTAAAACCACTTATTATGCTGGATACAAACCAGGCTGTATGTACATGTTTAGTCAAGCGATATTTTGGGAAGGGGATGTCTTGCACACATAAATACATGTGCCAATGGATAGCAGATCCAGAGGAGCCTTGATCGATCAGATTCGAATTGAGGCCTATTCTTAACAATGATGACCAGATGAGGTTCAGCAATTTGTACAGCATGAGCAAGTTTTGCAGCATATATACAGCATAAATCAAAGAAAAAATGATGGGCATAAATGAAAAAATTATGATAAAGGAGTTTAAACAAGGATGGAATCAAAGATCTTCATTTCTGATGGTGAGTAGGCACTGTCTTTGTCGATGTCTTTTGCTGATGCACTGTCTTGGTGAACCATAGGACGAATAATGCCACTGACAACTTTTCTCTGGTTATGTGTTACTCTTTTGTACAGTCTCAGCGCCTCTACAGACTTGTCTGTTTTTGTACCAGAGCCTCTGGAACACCTGCATCGAAAAGCTGGGTTGCACAGGTTGCCCTCAGGCTATGATTGGTAAAATTTCCTTCGATGTTAGCGTCACGAAACATTTGCTTGACCATTTGCTGCAACTTCTTTCTTGGACGTGGGCTAGCCCAGTACCATGGCTTATTTCCTGTCGGTTTAAATGGCAATGGCTGGAGATAAAACTGATCACTCGGTTTCATTTCAGGTGGTATTTTCAATAAGTACATATCTTTGTCTGCAACTCCACCCGAATGGTTTTTTGATCCATGTTCATAATAGGTGTACCTGTCTGGATCCCTCATTCGAATGAACTGCTCAAAACGTAGGTCTAACTGCTCTTTAACCCCCCGGAGTGCGAAAGACTTCACATTGTAAAAGAAGACAGCATTTAGAAGAGCTTGAGGCATAGACATTCCCAAAATACCCAGTGACCACAGCTTCCTTTCCATCTCTACCACACCAATTCCATAAGAACGGAGCATTCTCAGGTGCCTGTCTAAAGCATTGTGCAATTTCGGGTAATGCCTCTCTCGAATAGCCTTATTCATAAAGCTGACTACCGACGGACCTTGGTTAGCCTTGTACACCCTAAACAATGCTGGCAACAAATTTTGGACAGTCATAGGTGGGTAGTAATCGCCATCCCCACGCCTGGCCTCCAGCACAAACACAGCTAACCATTCGTCAACCATATGGGTTGGATACGGGGCCTCCAATAAATCAGCAGGACATGCTGCGATATCCATACAGGTTTCTTGCTGTCGGCTTGCTGCCCAAAGTCTAAAAACTCCCAGGGCCCAGTTATTACACTGCTGCGTGCATTTTGGGACGTACGACTGGGTTTTTTGCCGCGCTTCTTCCCGGGTCAACGGTTTAGCAAACCTGCGGCCAATCCTGGACGTGGACTTGTTGAGCCGTCGCGGCGCCAAAGGTTTGATGTACCTCTGGGGCGTCAGTGGCTCCGGTAGTGTTGGAGGCGTCTGTGGCGGTGTCAAAAAATGCGCCTAGTACCAGTTGAGGGGGAAGACAATTCCCAGGGTCGCCAAAGAGTGCCGTTTTCTTTCCCAGTCATCACACCGTCCTGCTTGCGAAGGCGCCACGTGGCAGCTGTCACGTGATGTGTAGCGATCCAATTGGTCTATTTTGGCGCGTAAAGCTCGGTTTTGGCGCGTTGCACTTTTTGGCGGTATAATTTCGCTAATGGTGCTAAGTGGGTGTTACTAAATCATACCTCATAGTGCATTGTGCCTGGTAAGTGTACCAAAAACTGTTTATGCAAGTACATGTCATAATTGACATAATACGCATATTTGTGGTGTGTGAGCTCGCTCTAGCAACAACACTTGTAGGGACAGCACTAGGTATCCCCCATACATTCTCTACCAGAGATGGCTGACTTAGCAACTCGTTACGTAATCTACGTATGACGTGTGTCTAACCTCCTCTGCATCCCAGGCCCTCTCCCTCCTCCTCGCAAATATGACCTTTAAACCATGGGCAAAGTTAAACCCTTTGGATGCCATGGGTATACCCTTAATAATAAACAAAAATTGGTGTATAACATATTGACGCCTAGTATTATAGCCATATATAAATTCTTATGGACTTACGGAGGCTCTGGGCATATAATACGTATTATGACAGTGGCTTGCAGAGTGTTAATTAGGGAGAAGGCCCTGGAAGATTTTAGCACATGATGCGTGGCACAAACGTCCACACATAATATAAATTCTGTGTATAGCTTATGCGTCCTTAACTTCGCGCATGGTTCAAAGGTCACGCGTATACATTTGCGATGAGGAGGGAGAAGGCTTTGGATCGAGGCTACTCTGGCAAGCGTGCATTGAACGCTAAATGTAGGCCGCATCATTAGCGCTGCCGGAAACGCATTGCGCGTTGAAACTCCGGAATCCAGCCGTAGTATAGCGTAGTTAGAGCGGATTTCCCACTGGCAAGGTGAACGCGAACGGACTTCAATATGCGCTCCCTCCTGAATTAAACACATACAATGAGAGATAAAACCCTACTGATTGCTGAAGGTCAGTATCAGCTTGAGCTTCAAGTAGTAGGTTTGCCATCTCAGAGTTCCCATTTTCACAACACAGCATCAGAGAAGAAAGTCCATTCTGGGTATGTACATGATCATGAAAGTAGAGCTGAAGGCAAGCTCTGTGTGGCAAACCTGGTACATGTGGTCTACGTCCACTCTTGCATTCACTAACTCCCTGACAATTGCCATATTATTTTTCCATACTGCCAGCAATAGTGGGGTCTGGCCAGCCTGCAGGTAATGAAACGGCACCTGTCAGGCCATACAAAGCACATTATGTGCACATTATATTTTGTCTGCCAGTGCAATGCTGAACTACCCATGCACACATATATTTGGACTGGTGCATTTAGGCTATACTGTGAAAAATGATTATTGCTGTCATACCATGATTTGTCACTCCTACAGCTACGCCTATACTTAAAACGCCCCATTGAGGGATCTGGCTGGTATACACGCCCTCAACCCTCTTGTGTGTATACCACTAGATCGGATGTTTTGAGTGGTTTATAATGTGATCCAGGAGTTTTCATAGCATTGTTCAGACAGCAGCTCTGCTGAACAATGCTGGCGAGAGCACTTATCAAATACTTGCACTGTGGCTAGTCTGGGGTGGATCTAGCTTGAAGAAACGCTCCAAAAGATCAAAGGAAACACCTGGAACCAGGCTATAACTGATTAATAAGGTACTAGGTGTCCTTAGGAGCACATACACTCACTCAGTACCACAGCAAAACAACTTGCATGTACCAAGACACTAGCAGTGCTGACAGGTACTCAAGGAAGCAGGAACAACAGGTGAACAGAGGACGTGGTAAGGTATCTTTAGTGCATAGCTCATTTGAATCTAGCAATTTGATATGCTTGGTCCTCCAACACAGAAACTTAGTACATTGATGTTAAGAGTTCATAAACAGAAATTACAAGTTTGTTAACAATAAAGCAATAAAAAGGTGTTGGTACACTGATTTAATATGGTGAACGAAGCATGTGTCAACGAGGTGACAACGTAGATAGGCAAGGCAAGCAATAGCCGAGCAGCCTGCCAGGACAGCTCTTTTCAAGAAAAAAGAAGAGCTACCTGCCCAGGGATGCCAAAACAGCTAAGGCCACTAATGCTACATTTGTTTGGGAATTATGCCCTAATTAGTATTGCACACCATGCGTGTGAATGCAGGAAAACAAGTATATAAAAATGTCTTCCAAAATCACTAAGTACAGTAGTCTTAGGGATGATCATGCATCATAGATGTATGGGGGGGCTATGATAGGGAAGTTTTTGATCATCATCTTCTTCTTCAGATTCCACCCATAACTAAAAAACAGAACAACACTTTTGTAAAAATGCAGATATCCATCACCCGAAGAGATTGGTCATACTTTTTTGTTTGTAAACAATTTTGTTCACTGTAAACAACAACAAATAGCCCCAGATTATACATAATGGATCACATGTGTCAGTATAACTCACAAATTGTAAGAGCTATGTGAACGAAACTTTGTAGGCATAATGTATTTAATCACCAACATCAAAATCATAACAAAACATGTTTGTAAATGAAAAACACTAAAGTGCAAACCCTCGGCGAACTGCGCATGCGAGATATTGCTAAATTGATGGGCTGGGCTATTTGTACTCGTAGTCTCCCGCTAGTAGCTCGCGGAGAGTCTGACACGGGCTAGCTACAGTAGTAGATACATAGCATGCGGGAGTCGATGCATGCCATTTGTTGTGACTTCCTGAGCCCCCAAGGTACACAGAGCGAGCGGATCAGGTCGCGGTAAGCCCAATGCGATTATGCATATTGGCTTTTGCGCTTGTCTTCACAGCATATCTCTCGAACGCAGTCGTTTCAGGAAAATCGCCTTTTTAGTTTTAAGGCTCACGTAGTTCTGCAGCCGCTGGTATCGCTAATGGGCCGTCTCGTAGCCTGTAATGCCAGAATAAGCGTCGACACACACACAGACAGACAGACAGACAGACAAACCAACTACCGTAACCCTCACTGCGCATGTTAACAACAACAAATAGCCTCAGGCACTTTCCTTTAATGTAATTCTTCACTTCTCAAACTCTCTAATGGTAGCACACATAGAGGTGAAACTTGGTACGCATGAGCATTACATCATTTCCATGACAAATGCTTGTTTCCATGACAACTTGTTTGTAAACAAATAGCCTAAGGCACTTTTCTTTAAAATTACTTCTTCACTCCTCACACTTGCTAGCATGGAGATCAAAACTTGGTTACTTCGTTTCCAGACAACCACAGATTGTTTGAACAACGACAAACTTGCTAACAGGTAGCTGTGTTAGTCCGTTCCTGGCCAATGTCAACAATAGTGAATACAGGGATGGTATAAAATGCAAAGGGACAAGACAGGGATGACTTAGTATATGTGATCCAGTAGTACAATGGATTATTGCTAAATATTCAAACATTAAACTGATGGCTTTTCCTCCATACCCGCCCTATTACACTGTCGCCACCTTTACTAACTGACATGAGTTTGTTTAGTAATTAATGGTGTAAAGTGTGAGGACAATGGTGATAGGATTCTGTTAGAGTGCCAAGAACATAGATTGTAGCTATAACTGGTTACAATGAAGATTGGAGTCTTAGACTGCACACAATGCAGTCACAACTCAAAAATGAGGAGCTATTAGACAAGGCAACACCTGTGCATTTTTCATCTCATGTGCTTAGGAAATGAGTCATTGGCTGTACATGGGACCACACTCATATAGGGCTTGTGTGGAGGAAAACTTACACGAGCAAGCCATGCCAGTTTGAAGATGTAGCCATCATACATATGTTTGAAAAAAGACTGTCTGGACTGCGCTGCTAGCGTGCGTTTTCAGACGGTCTCTAATTATACAGACTGTGGTGTACAGGCAAATGACACATGCTGTCTAACACAACTAACAGTGGAGCCTAGATACATACTCACTATCACTTGCTTTTACACTACGTGCATGCACATACCGATTTTAATAGCTAATTTAACCCTGCAAATAAAAAACATTGGTCATGTTTAGGCACATGACCTCTACACAGTCAGTGTATGTGCTAAGTCAGGTGGGCACAGCGAAAATACTGATGGAATACACATTGGCTCTTTTATGGTTACCTTATTGCAGACATTTGGATGGGCACCAGTGCTCAGAAGGATAGAAACGGTAGTAAAATCATTTCCTCGACAGGCATGTGCCAGTGCTGTATTGTCATCCTGCAGTTTTAATGTTACCATGTGTTGTAAGTGAGCAAGGCAAGTCCATTTTTTGAATTTTCACATCCCTTGACCAATTAGTGTTGCTTCTACTGAGCTACCAGGATTGCTAGCTCTACAAATGCATAATGCAACGTCAAACCCCAACAACTTTGTATATATATATATAATATACCGATGCGCCCGTATAAAAATCACAAACGCCTAATCCAGACCGCACCCAGACCTTTGGACGAGTGTAGAGTTATCTCTAAATTGGCAGGTGAGCTATTGCTAGTGTGTTTTTATACATCGATCATGCCCATACATAGAACGACATTCTCTAATATAATACACACATGAAGAAGTGGTGATAGAAGCAACTTTATATCTCACATCTGTTAATGGTTATCTCAAACTGTCAATTACAGGATGACCTAAAATACCCAAAAAATGCGTACATACTTTGTCTCACTCTCTCATTAGAGGTCAATTCTTTCTTCCTTTCCTTTCTACCTTCTTCGTCTCTTTCTGACTACGCACTACTGATCATTCCTTCTGTCTAGCTATAAACCAGCCGTGAGATCGGGAGTGAGACATGCAGATTAATTCTTAGGTAACCCAGTAAAGAAAGCAACCCATGCCAGTGCAGAGCTAGTATGCTATAAACATGTTTTTTCATGCTTACATTACTAACCTTATCCAGCAGGTCTACTGTGGCTCCATGTTGTAATAACTTGTCCACCACCTCCACATGTCCATTCTGAGATGCTGCCATCAGTGAACTCCACCCATTCTGAGATGACATAGGACAATACAATGACATGTTCATTCACAAGTTTCCTGCACAGAATGAAAAGCACTAAAGTGCAAACCCTCGGCGAAGTAGCTCGCAGAGAATCTGACACGGGCTAGCTACAGTAGTAGATAGCACGCGAGAGTCGATACACGCCATTCGTTGTGACTTCTTGTGCCTTCAAGATAGACAGAGCAAGCGGACCCGGTCGAGGTAAGCCTGTGCTAAATATAAGCGCATGCGCATTATCCGCCAGCGATAAAATGGCGACTACCGGCATTAGCCATACAATGCTGGAAGCGCTCTAGCTTTGCAACGGAGCATTTTCAGAGAAAACCCCACAAAGTTTCTGACCTTCATTGCCCGTTGAGTAGGTCGTATCGTTTGTGAGACGATCAAACACTCGAGAAGTGAAATGTAGAGTAACAGACAGACAGACACACAAAACGACTACAGTAACCCTCGCTGCGCATGCGCGCCGATGGTTAATAATAGGCAGAGCCAATCTACAGTACATGCAAAAAAGTTCCCACTACGCCGCCGTAGTACGGTGATACCGTAACAAAATGTTCTACGGTGTTTCTATGGCGGATCTATGGTCGACCGTAGAGCACCATAGCTGCGGTACGCTGCGAGGGTATGGCCCACCGTAGTAAAGCAAACGGTGGCAGCTAAAGGCATAGCAAGCAACGAGCGTTGTATCTAAAGCTGAGAGTAAGCTAAGAACACTAGCGTTGTAGCGCAGTTGTGTCTAGCAAGGCTACTGCTGCTTGCTATCGCTTCTTGCTCTCCGTTGCGCCCGCTGAGCGTGCGACCGCGCCCACTAAACCACGTGCCTCGCCGTCAGCACACTGTCGCTGTGTGAACGCCGTGTGGATCTCCTGGCTGTACAGCTAGCTAACGCTGCATGGGGCAACGCTGCTTGGTAGACTACTGTATCTGGGTGTTAGTAAACTACGGCGTACTGTGCCGTAGCAGGTCTACGGCTTCCACCGTAGTACGGCGTTGCTACGGTGTAGCAGCAGCGTAGCAAGACCGTAGTTCTACTACAGTTTGACCGTACTACGGTACGGTAGCGGGAACTTTTTTTGCCGTGTACTGTACATGCACTAGGGCTGAGGAAATTATGCTGAAATATTTGAATTTTATTCTACTCCTGGATTCTTCGATTATGTGCTATTTTTTACAAATTATGCTTGAAATTTTGAACACAGTATATCCAGCATAAGTGACGTATGTATATACGTCGTCAATTAGTCACGCTTAGGAATGTCAATTAGTAACCAAAAGGATGTAACTTCTGTCATTCGTAGGAAGTCTAGCTTCCGCCGTGCGCGCAGCAGATTCGTAGGAAGTCTGGCTTCGCGCGCAGTCAGTAGAGCGCGCGCACGAGCGGCCTCAAAACCGGGCGACTAGCGAGGCAAAATATGCACGTGCGCATTCCTAGTATAGAAATTATTCCTGGAATATTCTCGGATTCGAGCAGCCCCAAAAAATTCCCAAATTATGCCCGGCATAATTTCCACACCCCTAACATGCACACAAGATAGTGGTCCCCATTTTACCGCATGGTAGAGTCAAAATGTATTTTCAGCTCTTAGTTGGCTTGTATAGATCTGGTCAGAAAATGTGGTGTATTATGTTTTATGTTAGTCCCAGTACAGTAATGTACATGTCATCTGGTAGCTATTGTCTCTCAGGATGAGTGAAAGTATATACACAAGCATAATTTGTATGTAATTAGGAAGGCCTAGTGAGTCATTTTTATGCAGATCACGTAGGATTAAAAATGTGACAATGTGTAAGGTGGCTTTGATCGATACACAGAGCAAGCAGAGGTAAGCCTGTGCTAATTAGCATATTGGCTTGTTCACTTGGTTTTCACGCCATAACTTTAGACAGACAGACAGTAGTTTTATCAAAATTGCCTTTTTAAAATTAGACGCGCCGAGGGTTAATTAGCACAGGCTTACCATGACCTGTCGACCGTGTTCGCTTGCTCTTTGTATCTCGAAGGCACAAGAAGTCAAAATGATGGGTGTGTATCGACTCTCGCATGCCATCTACTGCCGTAACTAGCCCGTGTCAGACTCTCTGCCAGCTACTAGCGTGAGACCGCAAGTAAACGCATACCAATAGCCCAGCCCATCAATTAGATGTACCGTGTATGTGCAGTTCGGGTTTGTACTTTAGTGCTTTTCATTAACCCTCGGCGTGCATGCGCAGCGAGGGTTACAGTAGTCGTTCTGTCTGTCTGTCTGTGTGTGTGTCGACGCTTATTCTGGCACTACAGGCTACGAGGCGGACCGTTAGCGCTACCAGCGGATTCAGAACTACGGGAGCCTTAGGTGATTTTCCTGAAACGACTTCGTTCGAGAGATGTGCCGTGAAAACAAGCGAAAAAGCCAATATGCATAATCGCACTGGGCTTACGGCGACCTGATCCGCTCGCTCTGTGTAACTTGGGGGGCTCAGGAAGTCACAACCAATGGCATGTCATGCTATCTACTACTGTAGCTAGCCCGTATCTGACTCTCCGCGGGCTACTAGTGGAAGACCACGAGTAAATGCAAATAGCCGGCACAGTCCATCAATTAGCAATATCGCGCATGCGCAGTTCGCCGAGGGTTTGCACTTTAGTGCTTTTCATTTTTACAGGTAACACTACACAAATGGATGCATAAATGGTAGTTAATTCCTCTTTTTGCAGGTCTACTGTGGCAAAAAACACAGTATCCATGATAGGCCAATCTGGCTTCAGTTGGTTTTCACATGCAGTACCTTTACGAATTCGCCAAATTTCAAATAATCCCAGAGTAGTCAAGCAATGAAGCCACATGTTTCTATTGTCCACCAAAACGGTTTAGATTCAGTATCCATGATAAGCAAATCTGAATCGTAGTTTTATCATGTAGGTGGCTTTATAGAGAGTATTATACTAACATGATACCATGCTACTGAAATCGTACTTTTGCATTGAGTAGACATGATTAACCTTGCTCATGTGGTCACTTAAATTTACACATTATTTTCAACAGTGTTTTGCAATTTATATATACCTTTTCTTTCAGATCTACTGTGGCTCCATGTTGTATTAACTTGTCCACCACCTCCACATGTCCATTCTGAGATGCAGTCATCAGTGAACTCCACCCGTCCTGCCGTGACACACAGAGTAATAGGTAATGAATTTGGCAAAAAAACAGTTTAGATTCAGTATCCATGATAAGCCAATCCGAATCGTAGTTTTATCATCTATGTAGGTGGTTTTATAGAGAGTAATATACTAACATGATTACATATCATGCCATGCTAAACCAGATGCTGAAATCGTACTTTTGCATTGAGTATATAGACATGATTAACCTTTCTCATGTGGTCACTCAAATTTACACATTATTTTCAAAAGTGTTTTGCAATTGATATATACCTTTTCTTTCAGATCTACTGTGGCTCCATGTTGTAATAACTTGTCCACCACCTCCACATGTCCATTCAGAGATGCAGTCATCAGTGAACTCCGCCCGTCCTGACGTGACACACAGAGTAGTAGGTAACGAATTTGGCAAAAATCGGTCAGTATCCATGATAAGCCAATCTGGTTTCAGTTGGTTTTCACGCCATAAGTCTGGAATGCAGTACTTTTACGAAATTCACCAAATTTAAAATTATGCCAGTCAAGCAATGAAGCCACTTGCTTCTATGCTATTTTGAAAATCATAGATTCTACATGTATATGTAACTGATAAAACGGAATGCAATCTGCTGTGTTGCTGATCGCGCACATGACCTAGTCGACAGACTTTTTCAGAGAGCGCATAGTATGAAGTATGCATGTTCCCTTCACCTCACTGTTCTGAGATTACGTTTTGCATAGGCGTTTGATTGTATTGAGCGCTGTACATACAGTGTGTGTACCTCTGTTTGCAGGTCTACTGTGGCTCCATGTTGTAATAACTTGTCCACCACCTCCACATGTCCATTCTGAGATGCAGCATACAGTGAACTCCACCCGTCCTGACGTGACACACAGAGTAGTAGGTAATGAATTTGGCAAAAAAACGGTTTAGATTCAGTATCCATGATAAGCCAATCTGAATCGTAGTTTTATCATCTATGTAGGTGGTTTTATAGAGAGTATTATACTAACATGATACCATGCTACTTAAATCGTACTTTTGCATTGAGTAGACATGATTAACCTTTCTCATGTGGTCACTTAAATTTACACATTATTTTCAACAGTGTTTTGCAATTGATATATACCTTTTCTTTAAGATCTACTGTGGCTCCATGTTGTAATAACTTGTCCACCACCTCCACATGTCCATTCAGAGATGCAGTCATCAGTGAACTCCGCCCGTCCTGACGTGACACACAGAGTAGTAGGTAACGAATTTGGCAAAAATCGGTCAGTATCCATGATAAGCCAATCTGGTTTCAGTTGGTTTTCACGCCATAAGTCTGGAATGCAGTACTTTTACGAAATTCACCAAATTTAAAAATTATGCCAGTCAAGCAATGAAGCCACTTGCTTCTATGCTATTTTGAAAATCATAGATTCTACATGTATATGTAACTGATAAAACGGAATGCAATCTGCTGTGTTGCTGATCGCGCACATGACCTAGTCGACAGACTTTTTCAGAGAGCGCATAGTATGAAGTATGCATGTTCCCTTCACCTCACTGTTCTGAGATTACGTTTTGCATACGCGTTTGATTGTATTGAGCGCTGTACATACAGTGTGTGTACCTCTTTTGCAGGTCTACTGTGGCTCCATGTTGTAATAACTTGTCCACCACCTCCACATGTCCATTCTGAGATGCAGCATCAGTGAACTCCACCCGTCCTGCCGTGACACACAGAGTAATAGGTAATGAATTTGGCAAAAAAACAGTTTAGATTCAGTATCCATGATAAGCCAATCTGAATCGTAGTTTTATCATCTATGTAGGTGGTTTTATAGAGAGTAATATACTAACATGATTACATATCATGCCATGCTAAACCAGATGCTGAAATCGTACTTTTGCATTGAGTATATAGACATGATTAACCTTTCTCATGTGGTCACTCAAATTTACACATTATTTTCAACAGTGTTTTGCAATTGATATATACCTTTTCTTTCAGATCTACTGTGGCTCCATGTTGTAATAACTTGTCCACCACCTCCACATGTCCATTCTGAGATGCAGTCATCAGTGAACTCCACCCGTCCTGACGTGACACACAGAGTAGTAGGTAATGAATTTGGCAAAAAAACGGTTTAGATTCAGTATCCATGATAAGCCAATCTGAATCGTAGTTTTATCATCTAGGTGGTTATATAGAGAGTATTATACTAACATATCATGCCATGCTAACCTGCTGAAATCATACTTTTGCATTGAGTAGACATGATTAACCTTTCTCATGTGGTCACTTAAATTTACACATTATTTTCAACAGTGTTTTGCAATTGATATATACCTTTTCTTTAAGATCTACTGTGGCTCCATGTTGTAATAACTTGTCCACCACCTCCACATGTCCATTCAGAGATGCAGTCATCAGTGAACTCCGCCCGTCCTGACGTGACACACAGAGTAGTAGGTAATGAATTTGGCAAAAAACGTTTAGATTCAGTATCCATGATAAGCCATCTGAATCGTAGTTTTATCATCTAGGTGGTTATATAGAGAGTATTATACTAACATGATTACATATCATGCCATGCTAAACCTGACGCTGAAATCGTACTTTTGCATTGAGTAGACATGATTAACCTTTCTCATGTGGTCACTTAAATTTACACATTATTTTCAACAGTGTTTTGCAATTGATATATACCTTTTCTTTCAGATCTACTGTGGCTCCATGTTGTAATAACTTGTCCACCACCTCCACATGTCCATTCTGAGATGCAGTCATCAGTGAACTCCACCCGTCCTGACGTGACACACAGAGTAGTAGGTAATGAATTTGGCAAAAAAACAGTTTAGATTCAGTATCCATGATAAGCCAATCTGAATCGTAGTTTTATCATCTATGTAGGTGGTTTTATAGAGAGTAATATACTAACATGATTACATATCATGCCATGCTAAACCTGACGCTGAAATCGTACTTTTGCATTGAGTATTTAGACATGATTAACCTTTCTCATGTGGTCACTTAAATTTACACATTATTTTCAACAGTGTTTTGCAATTGATATATACCTTTTCTTTCAGATCTACTGTGGCTCCATGTTGTAATAACTTGTCCACCACCTCCACATGTCCATTCAGAGATGCAGTCATCAGTGAACTCCGCCCGTCCTGACGTGACACACAGAGTAGTAGGTAATGAATTTGGCAAAAAACGGTTTAGATTCAGTATCCATGATAAGCCAATCTGAATCGTAGTTTTTCATCAGTGGGTTTATAGAGAGTATATACTAACATTCATGATCACCATGCTAACCGATCTGAAATCATACTTTTGCATTGAGTATGACATGATTAACCTTGCTCATGTGGTCACTAAATTTACACATTATTTTCAACAGTGTTTTGCAATTGATATATACCTTTTCTTTAAGATCTACTGTGGCTCCATGTTGTAATAACTTGTCCACCACCTCCACATGTCCATTCAGAGATGCAGTCATCAGTGAACTCCGCCCGTCCTGACGTGACACACAGAGTAGTAGGTAATGAATTTGGCAAAAAACGGTTTAGATTCAGTATCCATGATAAGCCAATCTGAATCGTAGTTTTATCATCTAGGTGGTTTTATAGATGGTTTTATAGAGAGTATTATACTAACATGATTACATATAATACATTGCTACTGAAATCGTACTTTTGCATTGAGTAGACATGATTAACCTTTCTCATGTGGTCACTTAAATTTACACATTATTTTCAACAGTGTTTTGCAATTGATATATACCTTTTCTTTAAGATCTACTGTGGCTCCATGTTGTAATAACTTGTCCACCACCTCCACATGTCCATTCAGAGATGCAGTCATCAGTGAACTCCACCCATCCTGACGTGACACACAGAGTATAGGTAACGAATTTGGCAAAAAACGGTTTAGATTCAGATCCTGATAAGACCAATATGAATCGTATAGTTTACATCAGGTGGTTTAAAGAGGTATCATACCTAACATGATACCATTACAAAATCACAAAAACTAAAAAAAAAAAAAAAAAAAAAAAAAAAAAACTAACAATAAATAAAATACTTTTGCATTGAGTAGACATGATTAACCTTCTTGTGGTCATTAAATCACACCCAACAGTGTTTTGCAATTGATATATATTTCTTAAGATCTACTGTGGCTCCATGTTGTAATAACTGTCCCCACCCCACATGTCCATTCAGAGATGCAGTCATCAGTGAACTCACCCATTCTGACGTGTCAACAGGTAGTAGGTAACGAATTTGGCAAAAACGGTCAGTATCCATGATAAGCCCAATCTGGTTCAGTTGGTTTTCACGCCATAAGTCTGGAACGCAGTACTTTTACGAAATTCGCCAAAAAAAATTATGCCAGTAAGCAATCTTTATATCTCCGTCAAATGCAGCATTGAAAACACCGATCTCCTGTGTATACATGGGTATAAGTGATGATACGAGTGTATAATATTTTACTTACATTTAAATGAAGAACGATAATCTCCTCTCCATTCACAAGTTTTCTAATACCCTCCTGTGCCATTGCATTGTAATGAGAGAGAGAAATTAACGACCGACAAATAGTATAGTAGTGCCAGTGAAGAGTGAGAGGATCGAGGGTGTGACCATCATACACCAGATCACTAGTGGGGATACCGAGAAAGGAGCTGGTGAGGCTATGTATGGTGTTGTACTGTGCTCTTGTGAGGATAGAACCCTCCAATTGAGCAGTGACGAGGTGGCTATCTGGAGGAGGAGGAGAGGGCTGGGTACTTGACTCTCCAGAGATCATGACTTCATCTTCCTCTTGTTGGTGGGAGACTGCCTCACCCTTCAGGAGACTCTGGAACTCTGTAGAAAAGATTAAGCAATAGTACAATTCTCAAAAGGAGATACTTACTGTTAAGAAGTTTTCCTGCAATATGCCGGTGCCCAGCACAGTTCAAGGCTTCACACAAAGTAGGGAGTCTTCCAGCCAAATTACGGTCATAATCCATAATTGCTTGAACTATAAACCGCCCTTTCTCTACTGGACTGGTCTCCTCGCAAACTTCTGCAGCCTGTATTTGAGTAAGCAGCCTTCGCTGCAGCAGGTATGGCACAACTTCATCTGCATTTGGGGACATCTCCTCCAGCAAGAGGCTAATGTGTGACGCTATAGCTTGAAGTTGTAGTCGAATCACCTTGTGCTCATTATGCATGGCTGAGGAATAAATATTATGGTAAATGCACAATAGTTGCATTATAAGACCCAATACCAAAAGATGAGTCGTAGACTATGAATCCATCAATGGTGAGAGTGGTGACGTGATGCTCCATCATGCTCTGACTGCTGGGCTTGACAGAGTTCTGGATGTAGGTCACCAGAGAACGAGGAACCCGCCATGTCACCTCCACACACCCTTTAGCCACTTTTACGAGATTGAGGGAGAACTCATACAAGGACAGCTCCCGGCAGACTTGAATGCGAAACTTCTCAACATCTTCCAGTGTAGCGGTTCTCCAGTCCATTTGGTGCTTGCTAACCATTTGTGTGTAGATTCACCCACACACTCATCATAAATAGCTCTTACTCTCTTCGATTAAGTATGCCACATCACGGGGATGCATTCCCAGTACTATCGCTGTCATACTACAACCTGCAGATGACCTCTTCTTCGAGAAATGTGCGCTCAATTTGCTTGATTCAACCTCGCCTGCACGCGCATGCCGCAGCGAGTGATTATTTGCCAGTCACACCCTCTCTCTCCCACATTTCCGCCCGCCCCGCGTCACTCTGTAGCTGTGTACCGGGCGTCAGTCGTGTACCGTGTGTATGTGTGCGTGGCTATGTGTGCGTGTGTCCGGTCGTCGTCCGTCCGTCCGTCCCGTCTGTACCACCGTTTTTTCTCTGTAACCGCGGTCAACTCTGAGCGTGAACGCATGGACATATCTATCAAGTAGGCAGACATGCATGGTTACAATAGATTCTGGACGCGGAGAATGGGCGGGGAAGCTGGGAACCGGCAACGGCTGCCGAGGTGAGCTGTGCGTCAAATAGAGATCGCGACGATCGCTGTACTCCGATGCGAGATGCTTTGCGCGCAGTGTACTTAGATGCTAGATGCTTGCTGGTCTCGCCAGTATTGATGGTACAGTTGAGTAGAGCGAGATTGCCGGTGAAGTGAGAGCCATGGAGCGATCTGTTCAGTGAAGGAGTCACTGAGGTATAACCATTGACTGCTGAATGTAGGCTCTAATAAACTACTATTGGAGTTCCATAATCACAGGGCGAGGTTATGCCTTTCAAGTGCCCTTGATTTGGAGGATTTTGCTTGAATGCTGTGTGTCCATTCAAATGTATTGGCATGGTGCATCACAGGTCAGCAAAAGAGGGATATGGTAATTTTGTGGTGGGATATGCCGGTATTTTGCTTGATTATCTAGCAAAAAGCTGGAATGTGTTGGTAGTGTATATTGTAGTGGACGGTATATTAGTCATAGTGTTAGCCATAACATGAACCGACCACGACATATTTCATCTGTCATCTGCTTCTCTTGATATCAGCCTTTGCTTCCTGAGGAACCTTTTGTGCTCTTTTTTGAGATTGACGTAGACACAGAGGAGGGAGAAACGCAAATTCTCAACGCGACGTTCTTAACCATTTCTTTAGCAGCACAAACCGTAAGTCCATGTATTCTTTCTGCAACTTGTCAATCTTTCATTTTTGTCATTTTTTTATATACTTCTTGGTCACAATGGTTAAAAAATGAAAAGCACTAATACCCTTGTTAACCCTCAGCGCACACGTGCAGCGAGGGTTACAATACTTGGTGTCTGTCTGTTTATACCACGTTTTTCTGCCACCACGTGCAACAAACCGTCAAAAAACGACACCACGGGTTCGGCACTACACTGGCTTCATTTTTAAAAGGGCGATTTGCGTAAAGTCTAAAGTTATGGCGTGTGAAAAGCAAGTGAGCACGCCAATATGCGTAATTAGCACAGGCTTACCTCGACCGGGTCCGCTCTTTGAAGGCACAAGAAGTCACAACGAAGAGCGTGTATCGTATATAGTACGAAAGAATAATTCTTAGGCTAGAACGTAAACCTGGCACCGGTAGGATTGTACAAGAACTTCCGTTTATCCATCTATCACTTACGGAATGTCAAAATTATGGGGTAAACCTATACGCAGTCTTGCTGTATCCATTCATTATTTGTAGGTGTAATATTAATTATACACTCAACCATATTGCACACTGGCCAATGGGGATCACTCATTGACTGTCTTCATAAGGAGCCACAAGTCCCAATACTTTAGCCTGGCTACAAGGGGGAAATCCCAAATTCTTGTGTGTAGATTCACCCGCACACTCTAATTATGCCACATCCCCAACAATACATTCCCAGTTACTATGCTGTGTGTACTATGTTGTGTTGAACCTTGGACTCCTCCACTAATAGATGAGGTTTTAGCCACACCTGCTTCCCTTTGCTCTGCAGGTAGTGCCACAACTGCATGACGAATAGATATTAATGTAAAACACATGAATAAGTATTATCTATACACACCAATTGGTAACTTCACTGCGAGTTTGTTGGCAACACTGGGCATATCAACAGTAGGATGATTAAGAGCATCGTACAGATCTCTCCAGGTGCATGGCTCCATCCTCTTCAACCTGGTCTTGATCATGAGGTTGAACTTGTCATCCAGACCAAACCCTGGCTCAGAATTGATGCAATCGAGATCAAAAACCCCCAGTTTGAGTCGGGTCCCAGTGTTGTGCCATTTTGATCTCGCCTCCCACAGAGCCTCTTGCACTTCGGCAAAGTCATCAATACCCAACTGGAAGAATATTCGGTGGTAGTATAGTAGCAGCTAGGTATGAACATGCCCCGCCCTCAAACGTTACAGTTGTAAAAGACATCTAAAAGGGTTGTTTCCGTGATGACCAACACCCTCCTACCTGATCAGACATGGTCAAGATAACCGACGTCGATGCTACTGGCAGTCTTCGTGATCCCAGCGGAGTAGAAGCTTCCTCTGTGTGTATGGATGGGTGGGACTGTGCACTGTCAGCAGCGCGTCAAATAAACAAAACTATGCGCGTGCGCGCGCTGAAAGCACTTGTGGGTGGGGCTCAACCCGGACTATCAGTCTATCGCTCCAGTTGGTTCAACATACTGCGCCTTATGCACAAGGCGTTAAAATGTAGGATAAGAGTGTACGATTCAGCAGGTGCCATGCATTGGAAGAGGATATGGATCGATGCACAGTATACAAAAATCATGTGTGAAAATGATGTTTAAAATATGCTGTAGGGACTTTGAGGGCCACATCTTTGTCGCTGTCATACAGTGATAATAATGGGACATGATCCATCTGAGCATGGAACCTTTTGACCACTTCGTCCACTGTTACTTTCATCCGAGAAGTGTCAGGGTGCTGTATGAAAAGACAATAATGTATATATTTTGAACATATCTAACATCATAAACCTAATACAGACACACGTGACCATCTTGCTGATCAAACTTACCCGTTGCCACAAGTTTAGCATTGCACGTAAACTAACCTCTGTGATATGAGCTGTAGCTTGTGGCTCCATTAGTTCAATTACGGCACACAAATCCCAAAATTCATTGGCTGATGCCACATCAGATGCTGTGATGCCTTCCTGCAATTATGAAAATCTCGAAAT